GCCCGATTGAATGGCATGGTCGTGGATACCATCGATAAGCATAGCTACAGCATTTTTTCCTGATATATCACACTGGCGAAGAAGTTGCATTTTGGAAAAGTAGTATTCTGTCCAACTCTCATCTGGTAGTTTAATGCGTCGGATAAGTTTTTTTATAGCCGTAGGAAAATCATGGAAATCAGGGAAAGCTTCAATAAGTAGCTGCTTCCATTCGTCCCACGTATACTTGTAATTGTCAAGATTATTGTACCACGTTTTGGCTAAACCTGCTAACCTTGATTGCATATGGTATACTGTTGTTTTCTCGTCCCATCTATTGATCTGTGACAGCTGATCGATTTTGTCTAGCCATTTTTTTATACTGGCACTATAATTTCCAGGAGAAAACTCTGGAATGCAGTCAGGTTTAATGGAAACACGCACGGAGCATCTGTCCTCATTTTGCATTAACTGCTCAACTAGACCTTCAAGTTGTTTAATCCGTTTTTGTGAGTCATGTTCATTTGACCTGCAAACGTCAGAGCGTGAACTCTCTGTTACGTTTACGTCTGAGAGAGGCTCTATTACATCCCAGTTTTCTCTATTTCTAGATCTACTAGTATCACGACCGTGTGTAACGTCTACATCACGTCCGTGAGACAAGCTATAGTTTCGCCTCATATCAGATACTTTTTGATTAACGGAGCTATTAGTGTTATGAACTTCTACCAAAACTTGTTCTGAGGGGCCTGTTTGACGGTTATGTACTACTTTACTACGTATTGGGGGAGTACTAGATCGTTTACTTACGTGACTTTTCTTAGTACTAAGTGTTTTTCTGTGTCTACGTTTGCTCCTTTTATATCGCCCGGCACAATCACTACTAGCCGAAGAATTAGAGCTACTACTCGTAGAACTAGTAGAGCTACTAGAACTATGCCGACGTTTTCTATTTCCCATGTTTTGTTACAAAACGATTTAAAAAAATTCTTAGTTAACTTAACACTATATAAATTTTATAACACACTAATCAAGTCCACTAATTTAAATCAACGTTTACAAAAAAAAAAAAAACTATGTCCATAAAACACACAAAACTGCTTCGGATAGAACGTGTTTATCCCGCCGCTGCACTATAACGCACTTCAATTTTATAAAAACCAAAGATTATATTTAATTACCCAAATTTAATAACTACCGAAAATCAATACATACAATAATAATTTTACAACAAATCGTGTCGATTGATAATACCAGAATGAATAGAGTCATCGCCCTGTCCCATTATCGCATTCCTTTGCGGGCCGGTCGATCTGAGTCACTTTCCCCGAAATACGACTCTACCGGGTGTCCCTCATCGATGCGGCGTTACACAAGAAAGATTATCGGGTTTGACAATCTTGGCTATAGAGCAAGAGATCCTCGATAAAATTGATTTTGACAATATTTTAAAAGAATTTGCAGCAACCAAATCCAGAAAAAAACCTATTTAATTTTTGTATAATTGAATGTTTTATTTGTTTAGTTTTTTCGTTTGTAAAAATAAAATATTGGTTTTTGAAATATCTGTTGTTTCATTACAAATTTAAAATAAAAATGTGGTACCAGGAAATTTAAGTTGTTATTCTTCAAAATATTATTTATATAAGTACTACATATATTCAAAGGGCGTCAAAATATTTCGGGCACGCGGGCGGCGATAAGTTGTCATAAAAGTCACTAAGAACGGCCATTTTCATTAAATTTCTTGTTTTACCAGATCACGTAAGATACGGGTATTGTTGAAGATTAATTACTTTTTAGTTAATAAGTTAATATTTTGTTTTTAGTAATAATATATTAGTACTAACAATTTTAATTATAGACTTATTGTAAACTACACAAATAATTAAATGTTTATTTTACGTATGAAGTTTATTAATATTAAAATAACGTTACAAAAATAATAATTATTAAAACAAATGGAATAACACAGTCTTAACAAAGAAACCGACTGCATTCCTCAACGGTGTTCGATAATCTATCCATCCAAATAGTTGACCCACTGATTGAACCTTTGAATATGATTGAACGACCCTTTTCTGTCGGCCGCCCGGTTTACGATGTTCTTGTTTCCCAGAAATCGTCTCGGGTTAAGGGACCATCCAAAAATAGATTACATTATACTATTTATTCTTTATCTATGACTTATACCCACCTAATTTTATTATAAAATATTTAACCTATACCGAACCTGTCCTCTTTTATACTCTGTTAACAAAAGCCTTATTTAAATGCATCATGAATCATTATGGGCCATGAGGAATAGTTCAAGTTTTAACCTTGAAAGAAAATGTGTTTTTCTAGAAATTCCCTCAGTCGTTATTAAAATGGATCATCTGGCGCCTGGCGCAGGGTAACTAATGGTTGTTACAAAGGAATCAAAGGATAATAAAATTATTTTTCATCAAGAACTGACAATGGGTTATTTAATTTTTTATGATTGCGGGTTTTTTATTATTCCAGCTTAAATTTTAAATAATGGGAATATGGGAAAATATGTGCCTTATCAGCTACAAAATTTTTCTCACTAAATGATATTTGATATCAATTTTATCGGATTTTATCATTGACAGTTTTGGTTGGCTTCAAAAATTTCTATTGGCTTTAATAGACGATTTTTAAAAATTGTATAATATATAAACTAATCTTTGCCTCCACGCAAAAATCTTACATTATATTTAGATAATAAAGATATGGCAGCTTCAAAATTATGACTATTCGTCATTATTAATTTTTTCAGTCCTTTTTTGATAGTATCAATGGAAACAACAATTTTTTGTCTATGACACCAACATTTCTAGGTAAATTACGAGAAAAAATTTCTTAGAAACTGTTATTAATATATGTAACAATGACTAAAAACTTTTATCTCGAAAATATTGTTATACCTATGTAAAAAAGGAAAACAATTGCAAACTCAAATGTGACCAAGACGTAAAATAAATGAAAACAAGAAATTCTTTAAGCTATAATATGTGTCATATATGTGACACATGGTTTGGAGAATTTTTTGTTTTCTTTACTGTTATGTGTAACGTTATTACTAAATTTGGCATCTCTAAGCAAAAAAATGTTTTTTTTTTAAGTGGTAGGGATCTAGTATCAAAAAAGGATGTTTACCATTTGAAAAAACTGGTTTAGAATGACATACTTCGAATAGTGATGATGCCATAAAAAAATATCTAAACATCTGAAAAATAAAATCAACCTGTCCGAAATTTTTTTGTTAATTACACAGGTTTACAACTAAAAGAACGGGCTATTTGACCGGACCATGGTATTCCTAGGTATTTTGGCGTCCTGAATTCGATCCCGGGGTCAGTTTTGCTTCATCACGTCAGAAAATCCAGATTTCAAGGTAATTCAGAGGTTAAAATGGTGCTTTTTCGGAACCGGCCCTGGGAAAATTTCTAAAGCGATCTGTTAAGTTGAGGGGTATTGGGTGCTATGATTGAACGTTTACGTTATCCGTAACGTACATATTAGGCCGAGTTTTAACAGTAATGAGGCAAGTTCGTATGATGGAAAACTTTTTCCAACACGTTACTGTTATTTTCCGCCTGTTATCTTCTAATTTAAGTTTTTCATCATCCGAACTTGCCTCGTTATTTTTAAAATTCGGCCTAACATGTACGTTACGGATAACGTAAACGTTCAATCATAGGACCCATTGTCTAGGTCGTGAATACCTTCCAAACATTGGACAGGGGCCATTAATCTCGCAGAAGATGACGGTAGATGAGAAAGAAGCATGAAAGAGCTTAGTGAATGTTTCTCAGAAATTTCTTGGAAATACTAAAGACCCAAACTATATGGAATTGGTGGAGGGCTTATTCCAGAACTATGAAGCCATTGGATGTTTGATGAGCTTGAAGGTCCACTTCTTGGATTCGCATTTGGGAAATTTCCCAGAAAACCTGGGACATTTTAGCGAAGAACAAGGTGAAAGATTCCACCAAGATATAAAAGAGATCGAAAGACGCTACCAAGGTTTCTAGGACATTAACATGGCAGATTACTGTTGGAACTTGAAGAGGGATACCAACTTAGAAGGAGTTTTGATCAAAACTGCAGACCCCATAAACAAGCACGCAAAGATTGAGAAATTGGGAGGGAAAAAAGTGGGAGGCGAGGGGACTCACTATAAACAAGCACCCCGAAGGGACCAGTATCTGCAACGTCCCCGTCGTTTTTCCTGGGTAATACTAATAGTAGAACTAAGTTTATCAGCAGACTCTAAGTCATAGTCGCAAATATTGTATGATATAGCTATACACTAATTCACTTGGTGGAATGTGACACGTCTTATCAGAGGGATTGAATTCCGGCCTGCCTTAGCAGAACAAAGGTGGCAAACTCTGAAGCTGCGGGTTGAGATCCTCGGGCCATTTTCTGCAACCTTAGTTTGCCCCGGACAGTATACTCAGCTTCACCCAATTGTTGGACGATGTTCTAGAAGCACTTTGAGAAGTGCTGGCATTAACTGACGATAACTCAATTGTCAAATAAATTCTACGTGTTGGCAAGGGAACCAAAATTTACGAGATTGAATACCTCGAACCACTAGATATAAAGTATAAATAGATGATGTAATGTATAACAAGTTGCCTAATAACAATGTTCATATTGGCATTAATAATTTAGATTCCATAACCTCCTTCTTGAACACAAGTGAGAACTTCTTAGGTTCATTATTTAGAATTGCAATTACCTACACTACCTTTGTCATTATTATGTTGAGGTTAGTTATAATACATGTGAGAAGAGGCTAGCCGGAAATAGGAAATAGATATTGGTAAATATTCATTTCTTCAATAAGTATTTAGACCTATCTCACACGCCAATTCTCCCTTGTCATATTGTAAATAAAATATTCAGGACAAGCAATATTTCTGTGTCTTGTTTATAAATTGTAATTTAAAAGCATAGTATATACTTTTTAGCCTGTAAAGAAAAGCATTAATAAAATTATTTAAAAATACTTTTTAAATTTTATTTTAAGTAACAAAAAAATATTAAAAAAATGTTTAATAGAGATCTTCATTCTCACTCTCTGTGCACCAATACGTAAAGTCCTAAACAAGCCAATACTGCATACTAAAAAAAAAATAAATATTAATAAGATAATAAGTAATTTATTCTAGAATTAATAATATATATTTATCTAACTATGTAGCATTATAACTGCGTAAATTCATTATTATTGATAGATATAATTTTACACCAACACTTAGGCCAGTCAAATGACAAGTATTAAGTAAGAATTTAATTTTTTTATTATAAAATTTTAATCAAAAATAAATATTCAAAATATCAAGAGTCTATTTCTTCCAGTTTTTTTAAAGCCATTGATCAATTTGTAAAAGATAACAATCATTTATACTATTAATCGGCATATATATCTTTAGTAGAACATCACTATATTGGAAAATATCTTCAATATTATTAAAGGCCGATTTATAAACTTGCAGTTTCCTTTTCCGTTACCGTTTGTTTGACGTTGCAGTCGCCGTTAAACTTAAAACTTGTTATGTTTAAATGTGCAACAGCGAACGGAGACATTAATGGAGAATATAATAGTGCAAATGTGAACGGTAACTGCAACTTCAAGTTTATAAATCAGCCTTTATATATTGAACGTTTCAAATCAATATGTAGTATGTCCAATTTAAACATTTTAGGGGAGGAACATTAAACTGCTTAATAAAGTGCATTACTTTATAAATAATGTTAACAGTCAAATAAATACAAATAACTTTTATTTTATTTTTAAAATTTTGTTCTAAATTAATTTGTATGGATGGGAAGTGACATTTCTGACTCCAAAGGGTATTGATTTGAGGCAGCCAAAGCTAACCTCACCATCTGAACTCTGTTTTTTAAATAGCTTTCAAGCCAAGTCATAAAAGCATAGCTTTTTTAATTTAAATAGCAATAAAGTGTGATTAACTCCATCAAAAGCTTTATTAAAATCAGAATATATTGTATCAACTTGCATATTTTCATAAAATTTAGAAAGAATAATTTGTTGATAAGACTTCACAGATTGGTAACTGTAGATCTACAAGCATTAAAATCATGTTGTTGATTAATAATATTACTGCAATACCAAGACATCAAGACCATGGCTTAATTTATCATTTAAACTTAAATTCCATTAGAAATATTGAGAAAAATCAGCTACTTTATTACTGTAAGTTTAAGAAAATGATCAGCAATTCCTTAATTCGTATATGGTTCACCTTTCAAATTCCTATAATTCCAGAAAAAGTTTGGTTTATCATTAAAAAAGTTTTTTTAACCTGAGAACTATAATTTGCAAAACACTGTTTACATTCAATTCTTAATAGAGAAAATATATTGTAATCATTAACGTTCCCATACTTTTTAAATCTCTGATATGCGATTTTTTTGTCAATAGTCTTTTTAATTTTGCTGAGAATCAAATAGGAAAATAATTATACAAAGCAAAAAAATACCTTAAACTTTGGATACTCATTCATCAATATGGTAACCATGCCTACATATGGCAAGAATCCTCTTGCTCTTCCGACTACATCATCTTTTGTTAACCACAGTTGACCTGGAGCATATAACCCTCTATCATCCACACTGTTGTTGTCTCCTTTGGTTAGAAATTTCACGGTGCCATTTCTCCTATAAAATAGCATTTATTAGACAAGTTTTTTCCTTACTGTATATTAATACTTTTCATGGAGTTTAAGAACGCGGTGAACGATTGGAATATCTCTTCCTTCAACTTTGAACACAACAATTTCGCCCACCCTGACAGGTTCTTCAGGATAGTTGGTCAAGAACAGTAAATCGCCCCTGTGAAAAGCCGGTTCCATACTCCCAGATAAAACTACAACAATAGGACTCTCGCTACCAGTAACTACCATAAGACCCTTCCATATCATCAATGCCGAGGACACTATCATTCCAAAACTCAATACTTGGTAGATAAACTACAAAATACAGCTGTTAGTAATGAATTTATTAATTGAAAACTGAAATAACTAACCTGCCTTTTGTTCATACGTTTAACATCATCAAATAAATTTGCTACATCCATTTTTATTTATTTTAACTAAGACTACAGATGAAAAATAATATCCACGTCAGATACAAAATTCGGTCAAGACTTGAGGTTATGTCGATTTGGCTTGACATACGTTTGACGTATTGATGTTATTATTCTTAGGTGCGATCGTCTACACAAGCTCTGCCTACTCTATTCATATTTTGGAACTACAAATCGTACTTTTTGCGTTCGCCTAATTGATCATTGCATTAGTGTTTCAGTGACATTAAATTTTCAGTTCAGCACGCATTAGCGAGAGTTAAAAACACTTTCAAAAGCCACTTCTGTCAGTCTTCTAACTTTAGAATAACCGATCGCACCTATTATTGCCAACATGATAACTATTAAAAATAAACATGCATGAAACAACGAACTATTCCATGGACAAAATAGATTTGAAGTACAAATAAATCGATTGTGGAAATCGAAATAATCGGAAATACATTTCAGTAGCGTACAGTTTAGTCCATAGATATGCCAAAATTTTGGTTCCAAGAATAGGTTAATTCTTCAAAGACAACTTATTAGACTTAGGCAACTTCTCATACATTTTCCCGTAAATAATGTTGCCTGCCTTTATTTTATTATTGATTTTTATTAAATATACTTAATTTTTTTTAGTTTAAGCGATAAAAATATATAATAATAATAATAATAATAATAATAATAATAAATTAATGTTTTACTTGTTTTACTAAGGGTCGATTCCACCGTTGCGGTAAAAGGAGATTAAAATGACATTGTTAATGTAAAAATGTAATTTTAAACTTCGTTTAACACAACGGTGGAATCAGTCCTAATCCATATTAATTACGAATTCCATTAAAAATTGTATTGTCAGTGTAGGCAAAAATAGTCCATTAGTACAAAAAATGAATTGGCGCTGCTGTCAGGCACTGAGTGAATTTCAGAAACAACCTAACTAACTAATACCAATTTTTGGCGAACTCCCGGTGATCAAACGGTATTACCCGCATCATTTTCGCGACGTGAACCGCTCAAGGGGAAGTGTAATGACGTCATTCACTGACGTCATTGTTTGCTACCGCCGTGATGAATCTGTTCCCGGCCTCTTGAGGTGGTGAACAAACGGTTGATAGTGACAGTTGATGTTCATAGCATTCTGTAATACTGTAATACCGTTTTGTTTTGGAATTTTTGGTAGCTGTCAGAGTTGCATTTTATTTTGTGCGTTCATATTTTTATCTTATGTATAATAGTTTTCGTTGAATTGTCTCTAAATTCTATTTAAATTTGTTATGTAAAAGAAAAATTGTCTGTCTTCCTCAATAGATTTTTCACAGTTTGTTTATTGTAAAATACCTTTTAAATACACATAACATAACCTCGTTTATCTAAAACGTTGACGATTGACGTAAACCGGTTCATTTTTGTGAAGAATTTTTTAGAAACCGAGACATAATAGTGGGGGCATTTGACATGTCACGGTTTCTGTGTCACTGTTTATCAACGGGAGCACGCCAAAAATAGCTTTAAGGACCGATTCCACCGTTGTGTTAAGCGGAGATTAAAATGACATTGTTAATGTAAAAAAGTCATTTTAAACTTCGTTTAACACAACGGTGGAATCGGTCCTAAGTAACTTTTTGAGAGTTTTCAGATCAAAAAAACATTTTGAACTAATATTAATAATGTAACAGTTACAAAACATTTAAAAATCGTAATATATTTTACATGTGTTATTGTGATGCTTGTCACATACTTAAAGATTTCATGCAAATCACACATTTTATTTTCTTTTCTTTTTTGCTATAACAACTCATGAAAATACTTTCAAGTTCCTTCTTGGATAGTGTTGGTCATAGATTATTGTGAATTTCCTCCCACTTTGGAATGCTCGTTTTTTGACTGCTTATTTTTTCCAGATATAGACTTATTTAGGAACTATAAAAATAACAAAAACGTCAGACTAAATAAGAAAGCATATCTAAAACGTCGATGTGATAGAAATGGAGAGTAGGGAGATATGGAAATATACAAGTCAAATGGGGGTACACTGACAATCTAGGGTTAAATGATGTGAGTGCATTTACAGATAATCTTGAATATTCAAAAGAATTGCTAGTGTTTTATATGGTTAATTGTTTAATTTTACGATGTCTATGATTTTGTAATATAGGAATTACAAAATGATTCAGAATGTAAAAAGAAATTTGATGCTAGATTTATTGTAAATTTATGTTGTTGTTAAATTTTTATTATATAGGTAGTGAGGGGAAATATAGGTTGAAATAAATTCGATATTTTTCTGGCATTATGTTCACGAAAGTGGTGACGTCATTAGTACATCCGATTGTAGTTTGGTTAAAATGCGATTAGAAAGATATCAAATTTATTCCAACCTATACATTCTCACTGAATATTTATGTGTAAATATGTTACGTTGATCAGCGTCGTAGCAAGGGGGTGGCCCCGGAGGCGGGTGCCAGCGACGCAGAGCTCCTGACAGTTACCTATTATGATCTGTAATTTCAAATACGATAACTTCTTTTTATGGTACCTAAAAAATATCATTTTCTTCTAGTTGGTAGAGGTATAGTCGTGATATCTTCTGAAGAGAGAGAAACGGAGGTACACAATGATAGCAAACAGAATGAAATCGGCATTGTCGATCGCAGTATTTAGAAATATGACGATTTTCTTCAAAACTATGAATTGAGAGTGCTTAATCATATTGAACACCATAGAAGACGTTAATGGTGAGTTTATTTTTAATTGCAGGTTATAGAAACTCTAAACTGATGTAATTCTTAATAAACTTCTCATTCTTAACATACTATAACTTTTTAACTCTGTAGATTTTGATTACCTATTGCTTTATGTTTTATTTCTGTTTTGATTAAATGTTTTTCACTTGTATGAAGTCGAGCTTAATTGACGCTACTATTTAGTAATAAAATTTAAAATCAAGCCCCTCTATATCAGTTGGCAAATGAGGATATGCATAGAAGTAACATGATCATGTATGGCATTACTTGTTTCAACTGTTAAAAAATTAATTATCCTTTGTGTCAGAGCACATTATAAGGTTTGTTCGGGTTTCCTTAAAACTCGATGCAAACCGTCCGAGAACTAGTGGAACAGTTCATTTCTAAAGTATACGTCGCACACAACTATTAAACTGTCCACTGGTCAACTAGTCCTCTGATAGTTTTCAATGTATTTTAAAGAACCTGAACAGACCTATTGTCTTGCTTTACATTACATTTTTTGTTATAAGTTCTAAGTACACAGTCGAATATTCTCTCATTAAAAAGAAAAATTAAGTTGTAAAAGTTAGTAATATAATTCAAATAGATTTTACATCCACCAAGTATTCAGAATCTACAGTTTATAAGTGTTTTTATTGCAGAAAATGGTTTGTTTTGTGTTTTATAATACAATGGCAATAAGTAGCTCGGGAGCATTTGATAGGGGATCATTGGACAACGAATTGGACCAACATACCAATTTGTAGCTTTATTCAAATTTTTCATAAGTAACACCATGTCCTAAATTCTTAATTGCTTAGATTGCCTGTCTAAAATTCATATTTGTATGTATTTCCAAGAAATTTTAGGTTATATTACGTTATTTCGTTCTTCTCAATTTTCAATATTTTCATTGCCTTTGTCTTGAAGAAATTTGGTATTCTTCTTTTTTATTTGTATTTGGGTTGGCATTCATCTTATACAATAAGAAGTTAATACATTGGCTAAATTATTGAATAAAAATAGGCTAGTGGTAATTGACCGATTTTCTTTAAAAAAGAGGCCAGTGAATTCACAATGGTAAAGAAGAAGAGTGACAGGTGACTGATGACAGATTATATTTGAATTTAAATTTCCATTTGTAATCTCTTGAATACAGTTTGGTTGGATAAATATTTTAGGTGTAAAATATTTTCTGTCAGAAAAAATAACACTGCTAGGGCGAATGGTTTATAAAATATACATGAGGATTAAATGTGGAGTGTAGTTTAAAAACTGTAGTCCCTGTTAAGTGATTTCTCAGAATTGGAAAATCTAGGACTTCAAAATTACTAAAGTTTCAGATCTGCTAATACATAAGGTACTTCAAAGACTATTCTAAGACAATGTTTAACTACTTATTTAAACTTTTTTGGCAGGTAGAAAAACAAATACAGTAAAAAATATGTTGAACTACTGTTTTAAACTGCACAGCCTATTTTACGGATTTTGATACAACAAAATAATGGAAAATGATAGTTTCTTTTATTAAACACAAACAAGTGACAACTTTCGCCTTATAATAAGAAATTAAATATTCTGGTAACACAAGTTACATCTTTCACCTTTTCTATTAGGCAAGGGCGACTCCAGTGAGAGGAGGCCTTGTGGCATGGAGTTAGCAAGTTTTGAAACTGCACTCCTCAAATATTAACATATTGTTATGTCTGTTTATTTTAAACCCTTTAATTATTATAATTTATATTCACTAAATACACCAACTTATTTTATAACTTATTTATTTGTTATCAAAACTAAACTTAAATGGAAAAAAAATTCATTTATACAAACAAATATTATGTTTCAGACAAATCCAGTCCTGTTCCGTAGACTTCGAGATGTTTTTTGATGCTCCTTGCCCATGAATCCACACCTGCGCTTAGATCTTTCCAGTAACTTTTCATAAGAGGTCGTTTGTCTCGATCGTCCAGCGGTAGCGGACCACAGACGGGCAACTTGAAAGGTAAACAAAGTAAGTGCCGGCACAACAATATTACACATCCAGTGCAACAACGTATGTGAAAAAATATTTCAGAAGTTTCAAGGAAAATTGATTTTTATACCTTGTAAAAGTTTTTGCATTTTCTTAACTCAGAATGCAATATATATTATCTTGCTATTTTTTTTTTTTTTTTTTTTTGTCTGGTACGAAAATATGTTAATTTATCATGTTTTAAAACCCCCTCCAAAAGTGCAGCTCAAAAAATTTTTTTAGGAGTTGCTCAAGATTTTTTAAAAGGTCAAAATTCGATTTATTAAATTATGCTTTCATTGTTGTATTTATTGGATTTTTTTTTGTCATGATAAATTCTGAATGCTACTTAAAAGCAAAAATTGAAATTAATTCTTAATATTACGATTTAAAAGGTCGCTCAAAAACATCAAAAGCAATAATGTTTTATATAATAAATTATGAGCGACCGTTCAAAATTCATGTTTTGAGTTAAAAAT